AACCTGTATATATACAATTAATTAACATATTTTGCGCGTAAGACGTGGTAGCGCAAGGGGACAACACTCAGCGTCGTGAGTTCAACCCCGGAGTGCGCGCAAGCGAATTTGAATTTTCTCTTTGCTGAAATTGTTTTTTTTTTCTCGTTTATTTACCTGTCGCATAGCTAGCTATATGCATTGGGAAGATGAATTTAGATGCATTTCGATGATTTTCGGAAAAATTAATGTAATTTTGGTGGTTTTCTGCTTATGAAACATTCTAGAACCAGTCTCCGAAATGCGCGCATTTTCTGAACGAATAGTATACTATAGTACAGCCCGGCTGGCAGCCGAGCTATCGGAGACAAAATTTCCGGCTGTCAGCCGGCGTCAAACGCGCTAATTGGGTGGCTTGATTTGCCAGTTTGATATCCATTCTCCACAAACCAAGAAAAAATACTTCTACCGGTATTAAATGTATCTTTGTGACAACGAAAGTTGTGTATATAAATAAACATGCACACTCGGTGCAGTGCAATGGACATTCATCATTTAAGAATACACAAATACAAACAGATTAATAGATATTTAATATTCTCAACATGCAAATTGGATAATTCGCTGAATGCTCTCAATATTCATAAAGGTTTACCAGAGCAGGTACGATCAAACTATATATATATTTCATATTTGTATTCTCTGCCAACAAATGAAACAAACCACAACACTATTTATCGTAATTACCGTCGTAGCAGTTGAGTGTTTACAAGGTCAACAAATACTCTGTAATTATAAGCGAAAGTTAATGTCGCCATAAAAACGCAGATAACAAAACACATGTGCATGTCTCCACACATTTTCAACACAAAGTACTACCAACCGTCTGCAATGTTACCTATATTTCACCCTGTGGCACCATGTGCATGATTCACAGATGCGGTGAAACCACATTCACTATCCGTCAGCCAATTCACCACGCGCACCATCCGCACGGATCGTCAGTGTTTTGGGGTCTACCCTGTGGCACCATGTGCATGATTCACGGATCGTGAAACCACATTCACCATCCGTCAACCAATTCACCATCCGCACGGATCCGCACGGATGTTTTGGGGTCTACCCTGCGGCACCATGTGCAATTCCCAACGGTAGAAAAATGTGATTTCGACCGGCAATTTTTATTTGACGAGTATGTGGCCATTTTTCATCTTTACGGTTTAAAAAAGTATTATTGAAAAGCTAAATAACTATGCTTTCGTCCTACATGTAGAAATTTAATTGTTTAGCAAAGTTGATGATGCACGACAGCCAGTTGAATTCCCATAGAGTTTTTTAGACATCCTGTACATATTTAAGATTAGGTATCTACAATCATCAAGCAATTACTTTGGCCAAGTTTAAAACGTTTATCACTTGAAAAGAAAGTAGCATTTTTGGGCTTACATCTCGTCCTCCGTCCCCTCCGACCTTAGTTTTGAATTCACGCATATTTGATATTACCTAACATTTTAACAACAAGGTTTAAATCATCTGCAAATTTTTCTCACAGACTTTTTATTTTAACCTTAATTCTTGAAATATTTTGACTGAACCAAGAAGCTGTCCGCCATCTTGGATTCTGAACATCATTAACTATCTTTATGATAACGTCAGGAGTGGGGTTAGCCTTATAAAATTATTTCTAGGTTACTCAGCAGCAATCAAAAGTTTTTAAAAATGTTTTTATTCAGTTCGAAATTTGAAATAGCAACCAAAAGTGAGTCTGTGGTTGATACAGTTGATCACTGGCTGTCAAGATAAAAACGTGTGCGTGACCCCACATATCCTCAATAATCCAAGATGCTAGACTACTCATTGCTTTCAGGCAAAATACTTTTAGAGTTAAGCTTGATATGAAAAATCAGTAACAAGGTGTTATAGATAATTTTAGATGTTCTTTTAAATTAGAAATACAAATTTATTCCATGATTGTAGCTAGGAAAATTAAAGAAAATGCCGCTATACGCACAGCCCTATCGCGCTTTGAATGCTGACATATATTACCAGTGCCAATTGTATAAAACGGTAGTCAACCTCGTTCCCAGGGCTTTTCCCTTTTTGTCATTGGGAACGCGGAAAAATTAAAGGCCCTGGCATCGGCCGGTCACATGACTTTCAACACCCAGATATAGTGGGTGTAATAAATTAAAATAAAATGAATTAGAAAATCCAGGATTTTGGCTATATACTCATCACACATTTTTTCTTAGAAAATCCAGGATTTTCTAATTCAAAATGGAAGCCGATATGACAATCCTAGTGTGGGAGAGAAATAATGAAGTTAACGATCTGAATAATATCATTGTGTCGCTCGAAAATAGCGATCAATCAACGATACACATTCAAAACAATCACAATGTAAAAGTTAATGTGGGCAAATTAAATCAGCACGACAATAATTATGTTAATCCCAAGACCAACTACATGCCGGATGACATTCGTACAGTAAAGCCTGGTTCACATATTCCTGCGATATGCCTGCGATGTCATTGTTTACAGCTGTTGATGCATACATTCTTTTGTGAATTATTTGGTTGAACTGCTAAAGACAATAGCCCGCCGACACATCGCAGACATATGTGAACCAGGCTTAAAACAGTCAAAGCAATTGCCCCCAACTAAAACATCACCAATCTAATGAAAAAATTACTAACGACCATAATAGAATATAAGAATATAACCATAGAAGAATATAACCACTACACCAACGAATAAAACAATTCAAGAATGGATAGGTAAATTGCCTTTAATTGAAACGCAAGAATCTCTAGACCGCAACGTTATTGAAAATAATGACATGAATGTTGTTACACACCATAAATACAATAATAAGAAACCTAATAAGTTTCGAACAATCAGCGAACTGACATTTTTATCCTCACATGATCATTCAAACAGCACGCAATTACACTATCTACATCCACAGAGAACGAATTATTTTCGGAAATGTTTCCGAACCAGATCCCCCCCCCAAGTACAGGATCGTTCGAGAATTCGATGCCTATATCACTCCCACCTTCCATGGTTCCGGTACCCCCTACAAAGCAAAGAGTCAGAGTGGATCAACCATCTCAATCTTGTACAAAATTTAACGTGTTAACGAATGACTGGTAGCTACTGGTTGTTTCCGCGTCCAAAAATTGGAGGTCATAACCCTCCTTATATCATCATTGCCTCAGTTTCTATTGTTCTCAGCAGGTTGATTTCAAGCGAATACACCTTCCGGTCTACTGTTTGAAAGCAGAGGGCGGAATTTGAATATTTCAGGGGAGAGAGGAGCTGAATTCGAACCTACGACCTTTGGAATACTAGCCCCAAAGGTCGTAGGTTCGAATCCCACCGTGGCCGGGCATATTTTTCAAGCTCGCCCGGTATGGATATACACTCAGAGTAACACCACAAATATCATATTCACCTGAGTACACTACATCAACACAGAAAAAAATTCATATTACTAGAATACATTGGTATCGAAGGAACTAGATTCTGTTCCGAAATATCACTTACTCGAACCGTCCTGACCACGTAGCTCAGTTGGAAGAGCATTGGGCTAGTATTCCAAAGGTCGTAGGTTCGAATCCCACCGTGGCCGGGCATATTTTTCAAGCTCGCCCGGTGTGGATATACACTCAGAGTAACACCACAAATATCACTATTCTTCTATTTGCAACACAATACTTTTCACTCACACCAGTCATTTCAACTAATTTACATCCTCTCTCTTATGCGAATCGCACAACTTCAATCCTTATGTGAAAACTGCCTAACATCGTATTGTCAGCATTCAATAATAGCAGTTCCATAAAAAACCTTATAATCAAACAATGTTTTTCACTTCGGCAAGAGATGATATAAGTCGGTTATGTACCTTAGGCCTCAGTGTTTATGCGCATATCTCAAACTCATTAATAATTCATGAGTAAATTAGCCAACCATATTGCTTTATTTTGCTCACATGATAATACTGGATACCTGATGAAGTACTTTGATCCAGTCCTAGGACTGGATCAAAATTAATTCAGTCCTTGGACTGGATCCAAACTAATTAAGTAGTGATTTATTCGCATGAGATGTCATTTCAAATCCTCCAATTCGGACTGGACTAGATTTCAAGTCCTCGCATTTTGATCCAGTGCTCGGCTTCGCCTCGGACGTGATCAAATTGCGCGGACTTGAAATCTAGTCCAGTCCTCATAGTCGGATTTGAAATATTACATCAACCTCGGCGCTGCGCGCCTCGGTTGATATGTCGCATAAACACTTCGGTCACGGTATTATAACCTATATACTAATCGAAAAAAGCGGCTTCGAAATCCATCTAACCTGATCATTATTCCAACTATAAAAGACAATGAGAAATGTTTCCTATCGAACGTCCGATCATTAGTGCCAAAGATAGATCACTTAGAAACTATTCTCAAACTAAGTAACATTAACTTTGTGTTTATTACTGAAACATGGCTGAACCATAATATTGACGATGGGGTGGTCCAAATTGACGGCTACGTATTAGTACGGCGTGATAGAGTTAATAAGAGCGGGGGAGGGGTGTGTGCATTTATAAACTCACATGCTCACTTTAAGATATTAACAGTATTACAAGACGACAGCTTCGATACCCTCTGGCTTTACGTAAGACCCTATAAACTTCCTTGTGGTTACTCATGCCTCATCGTTTGCATAGTTTATCACCCACCACAAAATGATAATAAAGCCTTAGTCGATCACTTAACGATAAACCTCGACCTTGCCCTTGCAAAATATCCAAACGCAGGGATCTTTCTTCTTGGCGACTTCAGCAGATGTCCGGTGTCCGAATTACTTAGGCAATTCACGTTAAAACAAATTGTTAGAGAAGCAACTAACGTTATTTCTATAACGTTATTTTAGACCTAATTCTCATAAATATGGCGACCTTTTGTGATCCCCCACTGGTTACTTCACCCGTAGGACAAAGTAATCATAATTCGCTGATTTGTATTTTCCAGAAATCCCAAGCTAAAAATATGACCACGAAAGTGAAGAGAAGGAAACGGAATCCGACTGACAAATCTGCTTTTGGGAGGTGACTAGCTGGACAACACTGTACCGAGAAGTATATCATGCGAACAGAAATTTGCCATTTTTCAAAATGTCTTAAAAACAGGATTAGATCTTTTCTTACCCTTAAAAACAGTAAAGTTGTATGATAAAGAAAAACCCTGGGTAGGGGTCGCGGAACCAGGGGGGAGGGGGGGGGATTAACCATTAATTTAAAGACCAAAACCATCTATCACCTTATTAAAACATTAATATCTATGTAACTATATAACATATTGTAAAATATGATTTTCAGTTGAGGCAATTACATAGAGATGTTCACAAAATCACCCTGGCTGTTCACGAGCATTTATATATAATCAAATATGAATTATTTCAAATTTACATGAAACAATGGTGTGTCACTATTTTTTATGAGGTATAGCCAGTTTGCCACCTTTTACTAGAGAGGTAATAGAAACAGAAGCAGGATATTTTTTATCACTTTCAAGTTTTGTGCTGGACTCTCTCGTTGCTACGGAATTGCTGAACTCTTTAGCATGATTATGGGACGTTTCTTTACTTTGGTTTGGCGTATTGGTCACAATATTCACAGAATAAGATACAAGTTCAATTCCATTGTAACTGAGTTTACAATAATATATTCCTGGTACATCAACTCTTAGCATTGACAAGAACTCTTCAAAGTGAATGGGATTCCCGTTATAGAACCATGAATACATTGTTCCCTGCTTATTGTGCACATTAGTAATGACACCCAGAAAGAAATGATCATGTTGGTAATCATTTATCAAATCTGGGCCACGAATAATCACTGCAGGGCCACTGGCAATGTGCACATCAGCTGTTGGCAGTGAGTATGAAATCCTACCCTGATTCTCATCTTCTTTACAACAGTCATCCCGTCTAAGGTAAACAGTATCGTTAACTGTTACACCACTCAGTAGGAATCTGTCAGTATATATTCCTTATTGTCGTAGTCTAGCTAGACAATTCTCCGATCGATAAATGGTAAGCAGGCTGAGTCCCACCTGCGGTCAATAGGACTAAGAAGCATACTGAAACATTCCGAGTATTTTGATTCAGTTATCAACACCATTTCAATCCCGATAATGTTCGGCCTTGTCTGTCCTTGTACCCGAAATTGGAAGACATTTTCATTCATAACGAAATCGTCGAATGCTGGCTTTTTAATACTAAGTAAAATCGAAACGAAATGGTGCTATAAAACAGTAAACAATCATTAAAACGCGCGAAAACCGCTGACCAGATGAATTGCAGGCTAAGAGAACGCTGGGCTGATAGCAACATTTGAATTTCGTTTTGAATTTAAAAACACGTTTTGACGTCCTATTGTTCTCGTTTAAAAATATGTTAAAATCAAATTGAAATTGGCATGTTCCCATTTCTTTTTTATTTTTTTGTGTTTTGTTTGTTTGTTTATTTTATTTATTATTATATTTTATTTATTTGTTATATTTATTTTTTATTTTTTAATGATTTTTTAATTTTTAAAAATTTTTTTTTATTATTATTGTTTTTTAATTTCAATTTAATTTTTTATTATTTGTTTTTATAGATTTAGACAAAATGATAGCGATAACAAATTTATTAAAGAACGATGTTTCGAAGTCATCTTGACCTCATTTTCAAGATCAAATTAATATTAAAATATTAACGATTAAATTAATATAAATAGCGTTTACAAATAATTGCGCAAGCAAACTAATTCGTCATGGACGACAGTTGCAATTATATTAACATAATTAGAATAATTAAACATGCAAATTGTAGCAAACAATTAAACAACAATAACACAAGACTAGACGAACACTTATGCTAATATTGAATGTTAAGTAAATAGCTTCGAGCGTATCGAGTCCGATTGTTTGTTTAAACTAGGTTTAAGATCTTTAATAAATAACATTTCATAGAGTAAACACTCGAACTTTCCCCGACATTTTTTCAATACTTTAAAGTTTTTCTCAATGTTCTTTGTGTGCTCGCCATGCTGTTGAACCATATGTTCTCCGAGAACCAATGACTTGTGCTCATCAATGCGTTGATGTAAGTGTCGGCAAGTGTAACCGACATAATCTGCGTCGCACAGATCACATTTAAATAAATAAACAACACATTGCTGATTCACAAGGGTTGGTTTCGTTTCTGTTGCGGGAAGTCTGCGGCAATCTTTCTGCTTGTGTAGACCGGCTGTATTTGTCTACCGATGATCTTGCTGAGATTACGAAGCTGTCGCCTCGCACAGTCTGCCGATTTCTGGTCTTTAAATGGTAGCATTACACTACCACATTTTCTTTGATGTTTCCTTCTTCTGCTGGATGGTCGTCGTTCTCGCGTTTCTGGGCAGTGTACTTCGCTATGATGTTGTCAAGTAGGGATATAGGATATCTCAGGAGAACGAAGGTTTTCTTTAGGCGTTCACATTCCTCGGTAAATAGCTTCCAGGATGAAGATAGGCGGAATGCACGATTGAGCATGGTCAGGACGAGCGATTTCTTATACTTCACGTCTACATGACTACCATAATGTAACATAAGGCCGGTGTTTGTTGGCTTGATGCAGACCGTCGATTTGGAATAGCTGATGTTTAACTGCTAACTTCAGGAGTTCGACAAGTTCAAATTTCTCAAGCTTTAGGTTGTATTTCCAGTTGAACCATTCTTTCTCAAACGCTTTGTCGGCAAGAATTTGGATTGTTTCATCAACTGGTACATTGGTGAAAAGCGATGCAACGTCATACGATACTAGAATGTCACTCTCAGCCATTTGTTTCTCGCGTATCTCCTCAGCGAACTTTAGTGGGTCGGAAACGGTGTACTTGTTAATCGAAAGGAATTTCAATTTCTGATCCAACCATTTGGCTAGCTTGAAGTTGTAAGTTCCCGTTGCTGATAGTATTGGACGCATTGCTAGCTGAGGTTTATGGGTCTTAGGTAAACCGTAAAGGTGTACGAGGCGGGAACCTTTTGGGCAAATTGAGTCAGCTATTTCTTTGGGAAGGATCTTTCTAACGGCGGTTTCGAGCTCTTTTTATTTTCTAAGTAGGGGGTGCTAATGTTTGACAGATCTTCCTCTCGACTTTGGTTTTTCCAAACTCACGCTCTTGAACTTTTCCGTGTTGTTGATCGACGCTTCGTTTAGCAACTTTGTGTATTCAGACTTATCCATTACGACAACCCCTGTTCCTTTATCTCGTTTAGTGATAACGATATCGTCACGTTTCTTAAGTTGGTTTATCAATCGAAGCAACGTCTTTGCCGGTCATGTATTTCACCGTTCAATGTATTTCAGAGCAATTGATCGTAACGTTGCTACAGTTAATTCTTTCTTATCCTCATCTAGGTTGTGCTCAAGTGTTCGGTACGCACTTTCAAAGGATGCTTGTATATCCTTCGCTGACACAGGTCTAGGAATGGCAAAGTTTAAGCCTCTGCATAGCACAAGCTTTTGGAAGAATGTTAGTTTAAACGAAGAAATGTTTTTAATATGTTCATCAACATTGGTTGCTTTTGATAACATTCTAGATATTTTCGCGTATGAGTCGTCATTACACGTTGATACAAATCCTTATTGAGCCTGTTCATGACACGTAAAATGCATATGTACCTCAGTGTTGAAGATTTCTTCTTTATTTCCTCATAAATATCGATAACTTCTTTTCTATGCTCCTTTATTTGAGTTTTCTTTTGTAAAATCTCTTCTTTAACCACGGTTTCTTCGAAATTTTTCACAGATTTCTTCCATCTAGTTGCTTTCGGATAAGAAACCTGCGCGAATGTAGGTGTAAGAGCAAAGGATTGACATATGGTTCAACAGCATGGCGAGGACACAAAGAACATTGAGAAAAACTTTAAAGTATTGAGAAAATGTCGGGGAAAGTTCGAGTGTTTACTCTATGAAATGTTATTTATTAAAGATCTTAAACCTAGTTTAAACAAACAATCGGGCTCGATACGCTCGAAACTATTTACTTAACATTCAATATTAGCATAAGTGTTCGTCTAGTGTTGATTTATTGTTTGTTTAATTATTGTTTGTAACATGCAAATTGATGTTGCATTCTAATTATGTTAATTAAGTTTGAAAATTGCAACTGTCGTGCATGACGAATTAGTTTGCTTGCGCAATTATTTGTAAACGCTATTTATATTAATTTAATTATAATTTGAACTTGAAAATGAAGTCAAGATGACTTCGAAACGTCGTTCTTTAATAAATTTGCTATCGCTATCATATTTGTCTAAATCTATATTGAAAAGTTTATTGATAAAAATATTATTTTTTAATTATTTTTATTATTATTTTTTTTTATTATTTTTTTTAATTTGAATTTTCTTCTTACCTAATGTTCCTTTCATCTTGTGTTTTTTCAACGAGAACGCTGTGCTCAGGGGCGGCGCTAGCCATATTTGAATGAGAGGGGGGGGGGCGTGTAAGTGAAATATTGCCGACTCATTAAAAGCGACAATTTATATGTCTTTTCCTGATATTGTTGGCTAATAGGGGGGGGGAAGTGGAGGAGGGGGTGCTTCACAGCTCTACATCAAAAAAATTTCCGTGCATTAAACTTTTCATTTTCTTTTCGGTTAACGTAACATTGTTTGTTTAATTTTCCGTAATTTTTTAGTATATAGGTATAATTATTAGTTTTTAATCAGTGTCACTCATACATTTTAAATTCTTTCCTATCCAACTGAGCATGAGATTGGATAATTTGCCGACTACATGACTACCTAGCGCCGCCCCTACCTGTTCTGACTTTGGTATGTAAGATGAATGTCGAGAATGTGAGAGGATATGAGACGGCGGAAAGATGCAGTTTTTTCAACAAGATTGACTTTTTACTAATAATCAAAAAGGCCCAGTACGTTCGTCTGAATATCTTGCTTCACTACTACAGGGCAAGCAAAGGGCCTATTGGGGTAAATGCCCCAGTAGTTATATATATATATATAGTTAAAAAATGCCCTGTGTGTCAATGTATATAAGTTTTCATTTTATCCAAGAACAATCGTTACCTGGAATCACATCCCATTTAACAATCTTTGCCAATCAACCCCTAGTTTCAAAACTCTTGCCATGCCTTCAATTAAGTCACATAATGTAGTTAATTAGAGTCGTTTTGTATCGTTTGTATTGTACTATATGTTCGTTTTGTTGTCTTAGAGTTGTTGTTGTCGTTGCTGTTATTGTCGTTTGCCATTGTTGTTGTTAATAGCATATAATAACAGTGATTATGAAGTCTTTCTTGTAAATAGCTATAAATATTATCCAGTTGTTCAGTATATATATCTCCTAGTGTAGAATAATACCATGTTAGGAGTATTTCATTAAAGCATTAAAGCATTAAAGTCTTTAGATGCTATGACATCCAGGTCAGAGATAAGTGTAGCCTGCGTGGCAGGCGGTATTTCTACAGGCAGCGAAAATTAGGGAGGCAAAGGAAATACCGTCTGCCGCAAAACTAGGGGTTTTTGAATTACCCGTCCGCTGGTGAACGGAAAAAACGGATTGGTTAGTATTTTTATGTAGTTGTCAATCAACGGCTAAATTCGGTTAAATGTTAATCATTAACCAAATGTTTTGACGTTTTGAAACTCTGCGTTTTGAAATTAGTTCACAATCACATGCAGAAATGGAATACCATAATAAAAGAAGCAAATTTAAAGATACAAGCTGAAAAATAACACTCTAAATAGTGTTTTTGATAGCGATTCGAACAAGAATATTTAACAAAGAAGATAGCCTACGTCCGAAGGGGCCAAAGTTATGATCGGCGAAAGGTATGGGCTTGTCTATATTTTCTTTCAGACAAATACATGCGTATATTAATAATTTGATAATATACGATCATAAATCGCAATAATGTTGACATTTTACTAAAACTATCGATAGAAATTAAGAGATATTTCTTCACTGAATCGAACGGTGGGATTTTCATATAGGCCTATCATGTTTTGAACCAAAGATACTTGATAGAATGATAGATATACGAACCTAGAAAGATCTCCAAAGTATAAATTAACTAGGGGTATGGGCCGGTTGATGCAGTAATTATTAAATAACAGTTAAACTCTTATATACCCGTTGGATATGTATAGTTGTAAACAAATAAAAACTATCGTTCTATAAGGTTCAAAACTTTCAGTTTGGTTGTTGACTGATGATGAATCTATAGTATAGACTTGCATGCTTTGTAAAATTGTATTTTGAGCTTATTAAAGCACCATTTTAAGGCAGCTAAACGGGCGGCTTGGTTTATATTAAAGGCTGCACATAAAATAAATTCCTTGATTCTCATCACTAGACACAGTCTACACTTTGAAATGTCGAAGACAGTGGGAGATTTATTTTTTATATTTTATATTTATATAATTTATATATCAGTAGATCGTATCTCCACGAACAATGACAGAATGACTGAGTTTCCTTAAAATACAATGAAATTTCATTCAAACTTCTGTTTGTTTGAAATTGGAAGTTTAAATTGGCACTAAAAACCCTATATAAAATATAAAAAGATTAACTGTCTTGAATTATTTTGTCGGGCGGTACATTTATATTGTATAACGAAATATAAAACATTTTCACGAGGATTTTAAAATTCAGTCGGGCGGTGATCATAATCAAGGAATTTTATAATATTTTATGTTGAGACTTGGTAGCAACTTGGGAGTGGCTAATTTTGAATATTTACTTAATGACATCTATAAATAGCTTTGATGCTTCAGGGGCGGTAGTTCATTTACACCCAGTTTTGCGGCAGGCGGTATTTCCCAAGTATACCGCCTGCCATGCAGGCTAAGATAAGTGTCACACTTTCCAGGGACTTGTCGTTAAGGTGGTATTGGAGTAAAAATGTAAACAAAACACGCTCATGAGCATAACGGACTTGACAGCTATGCACTTTAATTATCATTAATCATGATGTTGCAAAAAATTTCCAATTTGTTTGCTTGAAAAACGTATCAAAAATTAAAAATTTTGAATGTATAGTAATAACTTATGTATATTCAGTTAGTTTTTTGCGCGTGTTAATTACGTAACTCATGGGATCGATCCTCCTCTTACGACTCTTACTTCTTATAGTAATGTACTGTAGCTAAGCACGTTTTTCCATGCACATTCGGAAAAGCTGTTTTGTGCGCTGTGCCAATTTTATTATTAAAAAACTGAATATCAATATGAAGCGGTCATAAAATAAGATTAATTTCTAATTATATAGCATTAATTGCAAATTGTTCGACTCTTCTGTGATTAATGATTATGGTAATAGATTGTCAGTCTGTAATATTTCGATAAAGTATACATGTAGTTTACCGTATAATTACGGGCGTTAAATGTTGTAACATACTGTCGTATTTTATATTTCAGTAGAATGTATCTCTCACTTTAAAATTATCATCTATCATCCCTCCCAAGCAGTACACAAGGGGGGGGGGAGGGGCAAATTACATTTTACATTTACATTTATTTACTTTGTCAGCATAAAATAATTATAATCTGCTGTATCTGCAATGAGGAGATTCTACTGTATAGTCAGGGACCGGGACAGTTAGTTCAGACTTCCAGACGAAATTGTAAGATCAGTCTTATTCGAAAACTGATAATCGGCGCGTATTGTGACGCAATAATGGGGATTTTGATAAACGTAGCAAAAAATGTATTTTTTTGACATTTGTTTTAATTATGTATGCTAAATAAATAATGCTAGATGTAGATTTACCTGCGGTATAAATTATAAACTATAACCCTCTTCTCATTGGCCATGATTAATTCATGTCGATTAAGTTGGAGTTTATAGACGACCTTGCGCAGATATAGATTCAGATCATTCAGAGCAGTTCAGAGCAAAATTAATGATATTGCACTTCAATGTATTTCAAAACGAGAAACGTTTATTTATTTTATCATCTGTTTTTATTTTGGACTGTTGTTCATATTCAAGCTGATTCATGTACGAAAAATGAAATCTTTATACTGGTTGCCAAAGGTAACGCAATATTATTACTGATAAATGTCTGCATGATAATACAATTTAACAATTTTATTTTTTGGTACACAAAATATTATGTTTTGTTCTTTTATATTACATATACAGGCGAAGCTGTTGCACAAATATAGCTAGATATAGTTATCGGGAAAACGTTTGATAGAATTTGGGGGAATAGTTATTCGAAGTATATGGGAGAGTTATTCGAAGTATAACTGCAGGAATCATTTTGAGGTATAGTGATGAGATTCCGAAAGTGACATTTCAGGGAAGATTGATGTATGCGAATAATTATATTGTTGTACATACAGTACATTACGTGTCTCAACTTGGCGTCATGATCATGTTTAATTTCGTGTATCGAATGTATTGGTCATGTACATTTTCTTTCATGTTTTGATGTTAGTTAATAATTATAAAATACGCGACACTAGCTTTCAAAGACTCGATATTATTTCATGATCATATCAAAGTTTGAAACGAACAGGGAGATAATATCCAGTATGATTATCAAATGGTATTGAAATTGAATTAAGCTACATGCATATAGCCGGCCATTAGAAAATTGTTAATTAAACATCGACTAGTTTTCTCCACTCTATATAATTAGCTGCAAGATGTTTTCTGCTTTGCATACCAAGCAGCATTATCCAGTTCTAAAAATATTAGAACTTCTAGAACAAAAAGCATGCCATGTACAAGAAAAGCGATCGAACAGCCGATACAATGATATTGTGATAGTTCTGTCTTCTGACTGTGTCGCTGACAGGTTAATGCTTCTACGTTTCACGGCCAAATTTCGACTAGAAAATTGCATTGTCTTTCAGCAATTGCATGAGTGAGATACGAAAAACCTATCGTCTTGGGCAGGAGTGCCGGAACTACGGAGGAACACAAGGGCAGCCGTGTGCCGCTAGCTAAATTTAAAGAGTTGACACTTTTACGCGGTGTAATACTTGCAAGCCTGTTATAAAATGTGTACAGTCAATATTTGGAAAGCATACGGCCATTTAAATTCCGCGAGTTTTCAAAGGCGAGGTGAAAATGATCCCGAACTAATCGGTGGCGCTCATCGGCATATAGCCTTACCAGTGCGTGTAGGAATTGGGGGGGGGGGGCGGGGGGGTTCTGATTACTATTTTAAAACTGAAGGGAAACTGGGGGCATACTCCCTTAATGTTTTCATCTATGACATAACAACCAAGTATTTTGTCTAAGCATGAGCGGCAACTGCAGTAGGAATCAGATATTTTGCTTATGCTTACGTCTCGATAATGATATTAATGAGGCTATAAGTCCGCTTTCGTTCTAGGATGCAGGTCAACTAATAATTCAGATAGCTTTGTTATGTTTGTATGTCCTAATTCGTGCCCGCAATAATTGGCACACGCTGTTGCGGTCACCCTGCCTAAATTCATGTATATCATTCTTGTTCTTGTCATAGTTTTGTGTACTCTAATATGGCGAAACTAATGAATAAATAAATAAATAAATAAAATGTACCAAATCTGTGGCTTCAGATTATCATAAAAGATGTCTAAAATACATGAACTATAGCGTTTCGCAGACCCTGCAATTTTCCAGGGGACCATTCCTGAGATAGCCAGACGATTAGACCGTCCCACCCGTTTGCGACTCCCTACGCCCCTGCTCATCGCTGGTCGTATCAAGTCTTGACTGAGGTCGACCATGGCGAGAAGAACCAAAACAATCCGCCAAGCTTAAAGCAACAGTTGCTCAAGTATGACTAAAGATATTGGACATGTATGACAAAGAAATGACATACATGGAGCAGCTGAATGTTCCGTTACTAAATATTTGTACAAGAAATGAATGCAAGCTGGACAAAGTTAAATAATCATGATGATAATAATCGCAGATATAGTCCGCCCAGACAATGTTTAGCAGTGCAGATTCAAAAGTAAATATCGGGCAAATTTTTAGGCCTGGCGGCATTGGTACAATGAATTTTGTCTTGATTAAAATCAACATTAATATGTTGAAAAATAATATTAGTTCTTCGTCAGAGAATTGAAACCGAACGACAGACTGAAATTTGTTTCATTAAATGTAAGTTTCATCTTCTCCCCTTTTTAACGCACGCCCTAGTTGTTTTTCCATGGCCGCTATTCCAGTGACGTAACTGCAATTGTCACGCATGACTGCGTGGAAATAAAGTAGCAAGAGTGGATTAGATTCTGTAATGATATTCACAGTTCTCCTAATATAATACCAAAACCACACGCACTACAATACCTAGCATTATTCAAAATATTTAATATAAATTATATCAGTTAGTCAATTCTGCAAACTGACTACAGTTAAACGCCACGTATAACAACCTTTATTATATATACACAAGGTCTGGATATGAGGTATTCTGCAATCTGATTGGTTCTCTACTAGCAGGATATTAGCTCATATCCTCCTAGTAGAGAAAAACAAAATGGCGGCCAAACTGAATTTACAATGTTTTGCAAACAAGAAAACGGCAAGTTATCGCTTTTTTATAACCTTTACGGGATTAAAAACACAATGAAAAAACTCCCACAAATTGTTTTCAGGTTAGCAAACAAATTTTTAAAATTTAAAATGGTTAAAAATATATATTTTTGAAAAAATAACCGGCCGAAAGAGCGAAGATAAAAACATAAACAAAGTAGAAAATATTGAAAATATCTGAAAAGCAAAGTCTGTGAATTCAGACCTTGTGTATATAATAAAACAGTTATTCCACTCACGCTCGTCGAATATAAGCGATAGCCGATTCGGCGCTAAGCGCCTCATCGGCTATCAGCTCATATTCGACTCGAGTTCGTAGAATAACTGTTAAATATACGCTAAACATTTTTCATGTCTAGACCTCCTTTAATTAAGTAAGAACCTGTTTAGCAAGAATTTCAAAACAGGTTTTTAATATTTTATGAAATTGAGCCAAAGTTAAAAATATACCATGTGTCCCAAAAAAAGTACTCCGGTTTGATTCGTAATAACTTCGAAACAAGTAAAGCTTTGAAAGAGAAATAACTTGCATCATATAGAGGACGGACAAACTTAGGTTTTGACATATTACAGTTGTATTTCACTTAAAAATTCACGGAGATATTAATGTTTAAAATCGGGGAATATTTCTGAATGTGTCTGAAATATGCAAAAAACGGCGTATCAAATATTAATCAAGATTTGCCCGACTGAAATATGCACGATTACCAGTAAATAGATGACCCTTGACAAATTGTTTATTATGAAACAAAGTATCATTATCTACAAAATACAAGCAAGGTAAGGTTTATTCGTCCGAAATCCGCGTGTGTTCCTAGCACGAATACATATATATGTTATTTACTGGCTGCGAGGTCCGGATGAGAAAAACTGTGCCCGAGGTCTTGAAAACGGCCCGAGCCCGAAGGGCGAGGGACGTTTTCAAGACCGAGGGCACAGTTTTTCTCATCTGGACCGACGCTGCCGGTAAATAACGTGTTTATTTTTTATCAAATGTAAAAATTACATTCATTAAAATTCCAGTGTTACTTGCGAACTAATTTGAGATCAGTGCAGTTGTGTATTTTCAAAGCGAGGCTGACAAAAATTGAAAAGTTGAAAGATATAAAACACGAATACGAAAACTCGAGAAAACTGGCAAGAAACACACAAAAAGACGTATAGTTTCAGTAAAAATGTACATGCTTTTTTCATAAATGTGATAGCAGAGAAGCTTTGGAATAAAAACCTTTATGCTTGGTGTTTTTGCTTTGGCTTTGACAAAGGCTTTGACAAAATCAGTTGCTCCTGAGTCCTGACAACGACAGGTTCATGTTCAGTACCGATCAAAAACATGTAAAAATGAATCTGTTTTGATTTAATCATCGTTTTTCTACCAAAAGGACAATGAAAAAGGTATGTTGTTTTTATATTTTTGTATATTTTCATCTCGTCTCAGGATAATATGCTTGAAAAAAGTGTTTTTAAACACAATTAAACTTTTACTTTGTTTACAATATTTATATCAGTGAAAAATGCATAACACAAATGGCTAGAGAATATATTCCTGACTTCGGTTTTTACTGCTGCAGTTAAACTTTCTTTTAAATGGGAAAACATTTTTTTCGTTTAAAAATTTTTTCACTTCTCGGTTTTTGGCGCGAAATCCAGAGCGGGCAGTTGCATTTCACAGCGGGCAGTTGCGTTTCAGAGCGGGCCGGATGCAAAAAATCGGCCCGCTCTGAAAGGCTCTCAGTCAATCAGATTGCTTCATTTTCACTGATAAAAAATAAGTTTCCTTATTTCCTTATAAGACCACTGCATCGCGAAGGATCGTCATGGATCGTTCGTAGTTCTGAATTAGGGTATGCTGTCACAATGGAATTGTGAAGCTCTTCTAACTTCTACAACGTTCTGAAATCTTGTTAAGAACACTGAAACTCTTTTGCCTTTTCTTAATCTTTTTAAGTTCAGAATAAACTGAGAATGAAACACAATGAAACCATACAACTCTATAAAACATAACAAGCAACTCCCCAGAGACATCCAACATTATTGGAACAAAACGTAACAAATAGTAGCGTTGATACTGCGATGTGTATTTGCAAAAAGCAATATTATTTCCTTCATTGCAGAATAATATTCTTCCTGCTCTAACCGAAAAATAATCAACTCTGTTTTGAACCCATGAAAAACATAAGATAAGATAAGATAAGATAACTTTATTTTAGCAGGGTGGCCCATTCAGCACTAGGCTGGTATCCATAGGGGCCCTGCGTATATAAATATATCTATTTACACAATAAGAAAATATAATAAACTAAACTAGTAATAGTACATATATAAATGTATAATTATAAAAACCTAATTGTACAATGAGTATTAGTTATTAAAAACTGTGTCTTTGTATAAGAGACTTGAAATTAGACAAGGTCCCTGCCTTTTTAATTCGATCTGGAAGATTGTTATAAAGCAGTGATCCCGAGTATATAAAAGATCTCTTGCCCAGACTAAGATTTGGTTTAGGTAAGTGCAAATCATCTTTCCTTCTAGTATTATAAGAATGAATATTTGAATTCCTTACAAAATATCCACTTAAATATTCTGGGACTAAATTGTTCAAACATTTAAATACTAAAACACACTTGTGAATTTGTCTACGAGTAGATAAATCTACCCAATTTAAAATGTCAAACGTATTTCTGGAGCTGTCTCGTTGTAATATTATTCGTGCTGCACGGTTTTGCAGTTTTTGGAGGCTTTGAGAACACCCAGCAGGCAGCTCGGACCATACAGCATCAGTGTAGTCAAAAATAGGTTGCACCACTGAATTGTAAACACATTTAGATGCCTCAATTGTCAAGCAAGACCGTATTCGCGAAAGTATACCTAATCGCTTGCTCACTTTGTTGCAGATCTCTTCCGTATGTTCTTTCCATGATATTTGTTCATCTAGCATTACGCCTAAGTAACTAAACTTTGGCACTCTTTCAACTAGTTTGCCTTGTAGTTGGATGGTAAAGTCTCCGAAACGACCAAGTTTTTGTTTTGTTCCAAAAAGCATAACCTTAGTTTTGCTGTAATTTAAAACAAGTCTACTGGACGTCATCCATTGTGCAACACGATCTAAATCATTTTGAAGGGTTTCCATTATCTCATTGGTATCAGAACCAGAAAAATAAATTATTGTGTCATCGGCGTACATACTGATTGAACAGCTTAATAGACATTTTGGCAAGTCATTTATGTGTAAGACAAATAATAACGGTCCAAGCACAGATCCCTGGGGAACGCCATAATTCAACACTCGGCTAGGAGATAGTTCGTTTGCATAATTTACTCTTTGTGTCCGGCTTGTGAGGTAATTCCGAAACCAGCTCATGGTCTGACCTCTAATTCCATAGTGTTCTAACTTGTAAAAAAGGCATTCATGATCGACAAGATCAAACGCCTTTTTGAGATCAACAAACACTGCACCTGTCACTTGCTGCTTATCCATATGTTGCAATATATGGTCAACAACATGGATAGCAGCAGTTTCAGTGGAATGATTCTTACGAAACCCTGATTGATGTACGGATAAGACGTTATTCTCTGTAAGAAATGCCACAAGCTGGGTTTGGATTGAACGTTCCATAAACATAAAAAAATTAGGCTATATAAGTTAATGATTCAAGCGCCTGCCATGCATAAAGACCTTTTAAATTCTTGCATAATTTCGTACGTTTATATTTCAGGAAACAATGAGCTAAGACTTACATGTAAGATGTCTAAATCTACGCCATATCCCTAACAAACCCTAACGACAATTCGCTGAAATACAACTTAGCCTGATATGTCATCAAGCAAAGAAACGCTGAAGTTAATATTTGATATGCCGATTTTCGCTAATTAGACACATTCCAAAATATGCTCGCGATTTTGAACATTAATATCTCCGTGCATTTTTAAGTACAATACAACTGTAACATATCAAAATCTAAGTTAGTCCTTCCTCTATTTAATGCAAGTTATTTCTGTTTGATAGCTTTACTTGTTTAGAAGTTATTATAAATCAAACCGGAGTACTCTTTTTTGGGACACCCGGTATAAGTCAAAGAAAATAAGCTCTTCACAAACTACTGAAAATAACCTAGAACCCTGGCGATAACCTAGAACCCTTAAATGACAATCTCAACTACCATGAGTGACTGCAAGCAATGTTTTTGTGCACACTATAAAGAAATTTATAGAAGTTAAAGTCTGTAACTTCTATAAATTTCTTAAAAGAATAATATCCTATTTAAAAACCTGCTTAGCCACAGAAATTTCCAGGTAAGCACCATTTCCATTAAGAACCTGTTTAGGCTAACTTGGATAAATATATACTGTAGGTCCTTATATGCATGCGGTATGTTACGGAATAAGACATTTATAGGACAGGGTTTCTATTGAACTGAGATTTTGGTTAATTAGGTTTTAATGTTTTGGGCTGTACGTACTAGCCTATACATATGTATTTACTGTCTACTATATTTACAACATGAGTGGCGTATCCGATACAACACGACCTCTCATCTTGTTTCGGCTTCAACAATTTAAGTAAATGAATGGTATTTGGTGAGAAAATTGAACTTTATAAGTTTATGTATAACTATGATTTATGTATAATCATGCAACTCTTTTTAATACGCTATTGAGCTCGTGATTTCGGTGTTTCTCATGAACTTTTAACGAGTTTCATGAGATTAATATTTAACTAGAAAATACATGCATGCCGAAACCCTCGCCTTGCTGACAAAACCATTGTATTTTCCGAACATGAAGTATCCAAAGTTGTTGTCATGGTAACACGATAATTATTTTTTTAAGAATATTCTTACAAATGAAAAATCGCCTAAAAATATGACTTTTAATTACAAAATTATCAATTTCCCAACATATATATGTTAGGTATGTTATTATACGAAATATAAGCTTCAATTTAAGGTAAAATTCAACCATAACATTTTGTCTGAGTTGAGCATATCACTGTATTAATGTAAACGTTACACTAAACCTGCGGTCAGAATTTCGTTCTTGTCCTCGGACTGGTTTGATATTTGCGAGCGATCTAAAAATTGGTGTTTTTCACTAATTGAATTCATTCAAATGTAAACAAACAAATTATTATTATTAATTAATAAATAATAGTGATTTATTAACTAAATTGACATTTATGTCAATTTCACCAAAATAGGCGAAAGTCATACAACATATCGCCAAAATATTGAAAGTACTGGAACGGAACATACTGCACTTCTATGACTATCTCTGTACGACTATATGAAGCAGTACTGGTCGACTACTTCTTTATAAATAACAATTACACAACGCGTCCAAATTATACGTACACACGTTGACACGCATCACATGTATTTATATATATAGTGATTACATTATTACACAACTGTGATGTCATGACCATACTTAGTGACGTAATATATAAAATAAAACGTTAAGTGCATATATTAATATATATATAAAATAAAAAGGCAATTATAAAACGTACGTAAGCTTGATATTGGAGAAATAGAGGATTAAAGAAGATTATATTGCTGAACAATTAATTAATTATATGCGTCGAATGGCAAGCAAGCTTGAACTTGTTCAACAGGTATTTTACTCGAAGATTGCCACAAGAATACTTACGCAAGGAAAGTTGGAACAAATAAGTTGGCGGCTCTACCGGCGGACGACGTCGAACTAATTGTACGAAGGAGCGGTTTGAAGGCAGAAAATGACAGCGTTATCTGTTTTCATCATGGAATGGTTTATTTACGCAAGTATGGATCTTTGCAAAATAGTTATTGTGATCCCTTTGAAATGCATCCAACAACGGCAAGGAAAAAGTCTTTACGCATAATAGATATTGCAAACGCGCACAAAATTAATAAACTCGTTGTGAAAGATATCAAGCCTGGTCAAAAGCTGTGCCCAAAATGTTCATCTTATCTTGGAAGCATCGATGAAAGTTGCATCGAAGAAGATGAAGAGTATAAGCCTGAAGTCGAGGACGAGTTACATGATCTTGCCGCCACATTTAGCTCCCTTGGTTGCACTCCAGTTAAGACTAAATTCGCACAGAGAGACCGTGCGGTGTATGCCAAACGAAAGGCTCATGAAGCGCAGACGGCTATTACTGACGAAGTTGCTCGTCGTTTAAATGTTGACTCCAATGAACTTCAAACGTGTCAAAAGTGCACAGTCCTTGACGCAATTATAGAAGGGATCAAAGAAAAATGCTCCACTTCAAACATGGAAGCCACACTAATACTTATCACTCTTGCGCCGCCGTCTTGGACAATAGAAAAAACTGCGAATGAGTTTGGGGTATCTAAGTTCATGGTCAACAAAGCTGGGAAATTGAAAAAGGCGAAAGGAATTTTACCCGATATAAGCCCAATAAAAGCAAGGAAACAGTCGGAAGAAAGCAAAACGAAGGTAATTGATTTTTATAACGACGACGAAGTATCGCGAATGTGCCCAGGGAAAAAAGACTTCGTTTCCGTTAAAAATTCAGACGGAAAACGAGTCCATGTTCAAAAGCGACTCTTGCTTGCTAATTTACGTGAACTGTATTTGAACTACAAAGAAAATTCAAGTGGTGAACACGTTGGATTTTCCAAGTTTTGTGAACTTCGGCCGCGTTGGTGTATTACCGTTGGAGCGAAAAGTATGCATTCGGTATGCGTCTGCGAATACCATCAAAACGTCAAGTTACTGTTGGATTCCCTCCCTGGTCCAAAACTTGATAATAAATCCTTAATGGCAAACTTGTTTGCGATGTCAGTGAAAGAAACTGCATGGTTCATCGGTGCGCGAAATGTCCAGGTTCTGACAGTCTCAGAGAACACCTTCAGTCTGTCTTTTTGGAACGATCAATCGAGGAGGATGATGAACTAACTTTCAAGCAATGGACGCATACAGATGGCACACGATTTATCACAAGACAGGAACTTGCGTGTGACCTCTTAAGGGTCAAGCAGCCTACCTTGTACAGCAAAAGGAGTCGTTAACTCCAGGCACTGCGGTTGGTTTGGTCGATTTCGCAGAAAACTACTCATTTGTTGTTCACGACGCTGTTCAAGGTTACTACTGGGACAACAGTCAAGCTACACTGCATCCACTGGTTGCCTATCATCGGGAAGAAGATGACAATCTCGGTACGATCAGTTTCTGTGTGGTCAGTGATTGTCTGAAGCATGATGCTACAGCTGTGTACGCATTTATCAGCGTTATCATTGCTCATCTCAAGAATTTAATTCCAGGTCTTTCGTTGGTGAGGTACTTCTGTAATGGAGCCGCCAGTCAGTACAAGAACTGTAAAAACTTAAATTTATGAACAAGAACTGTAAGAACTGTAAATTTATGCTACGATGAGGAGGATTTCGGGGTGAAGGTGGAATGGCATTTTTTGGCAACAAGTCACGGGAAAAGCCATGCGATGGTATCGGTGGAACCATTAAGCGTCTAGTCACCAGAGCTAGCCTTCAAGCTACCACAGGGAATCACATTCTCAATGCTAAAGAATTTTTTCCGTGGGCGAAAGCTGATATTTCTGGAATCGAAATGCTTTTCGTAAGTACTGAGGAAATTGAGAAATGCGAAATGGTCTTAGAGCCACGTCTGAACGACGCGAAAACCATAGCAGGAAATATTAGCTTTCGCCCACGAAAAGAGTTCTTTATACAGTTTTGTTCCAGTCAGTTCTGATTCTCTGCAAATCCGGCGAATTTCAGCAGATGTGGATAGAACATCCGTTAACGTAACAATTAGTTCGTTTCAGGCACAAGCGTCTCAATCGTTGCAAACATGGTCAGTATTTAGCAGCAGTTTACGACAAAGCCTGGTACCTGGGTGTCGTAGAAGATATATCGCAAGAAAATGAAGACGTCCTCGTAAACTTTATGAGATCTCTTAATCCCAGCACTACAATCCACTTGTTCGTATGGCCATCAGCACGAGATGAATGTTGGATTCCTTTTGAGCACGTGCTATGTACCGTGAAAGAGCCTTTGCAGATCACAAAGGGTCGAATCAAACAATATAAACTTAACAGTCCAACAATTGAGATGATTGAAAACAGCTTTAACAAATTTTTAGATTGTTACTACAATTTACCATGACGTCTCACTGGTATTCATGTTGAAAATAGTTAAAAACTGATTTGTATTTTAACCTTGAGAAAATCAGTTTGTACAAGACGCCCGACAGACGTTCTCTGTAGCTCCATCTACGGGTGAACTGAGGTATTAAGGGAGTGTTCATTATTCATGGTTTGGGGGGATGGCGGCATTTCACACCTCAATATCTACATAACTCCCCTCTCGCAACGGCAAAACTCACATGACCCCCCCTACAGAAAAGACCAAAAACCTTTATACCCCCCTGTTTTATATAAAACACAGTACAAATGTTAAATATGGTATGTACAATATTAGTTAAAAAATTAAAAAGTCTTTATGACGTTAGTAATAGTGCAAAAGCTCCTGTAAACTTATTGCAGCCATTTAATAATTCAAAATTTTCATGTTCATGTTCTACCGATATTTTAACGAGGTCAAAACATTTGCAAAAACTAAAACTTTCATGACCCCCTCCCCCTCAATTACTCCTCAAACTCTGGTGACCCCCCAAAAAATAAAAACATTTTTTTGCCCCGGCCCCCTATGATTCCCCCCCCCCCCAATCATGAATAATGAACACTCCCTAGGCCTAAGGGAACAACTGATCTGCAGTACTATAAACTGTAGAATATAGCCTAACAGCTATTATTTAGTTGAGTACATTACACCAACACAGAAAAATCATTATTATTTAGTTGTTATTAAGGTAATTCAGCTGTGCGCAAATTATTCTAGTACATTCATAAATACATAGTCGAAAAATATCAGATTGCTTTAATTAATATTAAGACAATTAACATTCCGATGAAGTCACTTTGGCGTGATTGACATTTGACATGCATATAAATAACAAAGAATTATATTAATATTGTTCATCAGCCGATATAAAGACTCGAAATGAATGTTTTATATCAATGATTTCTCGCATTTGTGACTTTTTGGCAGACATAGAGAATACTAGAAATAGAGTAGGAAATTGATAACAAAACCAGCGGCTTAGTTTAATACTGTGCTTCATGCAATTCAGAATTTGTTTGCTTACATTTTAATTCAATTACTGAATTAGTGAAAAACACCAATTTTTAGGTCGCTCGTTAACATCAAACCAGACAGGGGACAATAATGAAATTTCTACCGCAGGTTTAGCGTAACATTTACATTAATACAGTGAAATTTTGAGTTTGTCTGATTAGTCCCACATGCTTATTTCCCTCGTAGAAAAGAAGACACATCCGAAAATTACCGCAATTTAAGTCGGTATTTTTAACGTCTGACTAATTACAACGGGCTATTATTGCTAACAAGAATTCTTTGAAGGCTTGTTTTTATGTGTGCATGGATAACATGAATGTACCTAGACAGATATCTTCCAAGATATTATAGTTCAAATATACGACAAATTTGTATTTTTTCCATTCTGTCAGTATGTTGATCCCCCGTTATTTACGACATCCTTCATCACATACATTAAACGATGTATTGATTTAGAAGAGCAGTCTCAGATTTACTACTCTACCAATTTTTGTCCTTATATGTTGAGTGATAAACGAGATATTGATGTGCGAATTATGCCGAAATTACAATTTCTTTCAAAATGGCGACATTCGCCATTGACAATCACGCAGTGTCTTGCTTATATTTCCTGAAATACTTAATGTCATCTGGCAAAAATGCACACAAATTCTAAATAGATAATGGTCTAAAAGTGTACCAAAAATCAACTAAATCTGTAATGCTTGTGCAGGAAGTTTAGTCGATTTGGCGCGGAATGACCCACATGCCTTGATTTCTATACAATTTAAGAAATAGAAAACATTTTCCGTGTTTCTATAGAGTTATAGAAACACGCGTGCTAGTTTGGGAGAACGAGAAATAATCAGTGGGAACACGAGCACGTAGTGCGAGTGTTTCCACGTTATTTCGAGTTCTCCCAAACTAGCACAAGTGTTTCTATAACTCTATAGAAACACAGGAACAAGTGTTTTCTATTTCCTTTATTAAATAACCTTGTAGTGATAATAACACAAAAACAATATTTTTAACGCGATTAAAAAGTATATTCTCATTACACAATAACAAGAAAATGTTGCCTAGCAACAATACCGGCATCAATTTTCATTTTTGCCGACTGCAAAATTATGGAAAAAAACACGCTGAAAAAGTTGATTTAAAGAAAATTTAAAGCGAAAAAACGTTTGGTAAGTGTTTTCCATTGCTTGTTTAACAAAATTTCAGGTTGACGAACATTTTTAATCAACGTTTGTTTTAGTGTGTTGTTTTGAAGTTCGTGGAAAATTTCCGTGTTCTATAGCGTTATAGAAACACGGGATTTTTCGCTTTTCAACAAATCAGCACAGGCGTTATTAAAAGGTTATTTTATAAATATTAATAAGGTGGTCCACTACCAAAATTTTTTTTCTCTATCTTTTACTACTATGAAGCTCTACTATTAATATGTTGTTAGGCTCGACACCCTGACAAAAAAATGTGTTGCTACAAAACATTGTTGCCATGGTTACCGGGATAAAGCACCCCCCATCGTGAAAATTGATACAATCTTGTATGCAGGATTGCTAGATAAGCATTAAAGATAAAATCCTGCAATAACTTTTACTTACAAAATAACAAGATTGTCTAGGAGTTAAACCTAAAATATCAGCATTGTGTCAATAACAACATTTTTGCCAAGCAATTATTCGACATGTATACAGCTGTCCACAAAGCAACTGTTACTAATTCCAAAACTATTCAACTTACTCTAAATCTTTTTGCTTTAGCTCCTAGAGCAATACATGTTGAGTTTATCCTGAAAATTTTATCAAGATAGCTTAAATCGAAAATTTTATCAAGATAGCTAAAATTTTTGCCAATTTGAGGAAAACGTGTTTAAAGTTAAACTTTCATTTTATCAACAAGAAAGCCGCCTTAAACTGGCATTATAGTACTAAAAATCAATAGCTACCATTTCAAAATGCTTCTGCCTTGTATGTAGAACCCTCTTTCTCTTTTGTATTGTCCTCTTTCTTCTTTTTTTGACCACGCAGGATCTTTACCCTCTTCTTCACCGCCGGAGTGTTTCTGTGCATGGTCAGCTTTCTTTACCCGTCTCTTGTCAGCTTTCCCAACTCCGTATTCAAAAAATTGTCCTGACACCAAACCAAGTTCATTAAAGATTTTTGTTGCAGCCTTGGAACAATATTGAAGTGAGCAACTGCATCATATGCACCAAAGTCCAGCACATCCTTTTGTTTCTTTCTTCAGTTTCCATAGTGCCGTCCCAACTCGCTTCTGGACATGACCGACACATCCTTTTTTTCCACACGTATATTTTTATAAGCATTTCCCACTTCATTATACGCTTTGCTGTCACCATCCCCAAAGTACTCTGTATATTGCAACTTACGTGTCTACTCGCTCCTTCCAAATATCCTCTTGATCCCTTCTGTTTCCATATATGGTGCTGATCCTTGATAGTTTGCCTCGCACTGATGTCTATCCAGCATATCTGTTTTCTTTAAAGCATCTGTTTGTTTGTCAAGCCTTTGACACCCATGGCAAACTTTTGTCATTATTTCAACATCTAAACATTTACCATTGTCTATCGACAAGGTTGTAATACAACCGTTTAATGAAGAATACCCGCGTCCCTGCCAGGTTCCATCACACGAAACACCACACTTAGTTATTGAGTTACAATTCTCTTCATGTAATTCATTAGCAGCATCTTCCATAGTTTTCATAGCCACAGATGTTACAGCTTTTGACAAGGCATCATTACTAGCATTGTATGCTTTATAATGTAATGGTGGTGGCATGTTCATGTAGGAGCAAAAGCGTTTCATCGATTCATGTCCTTGTCCAATACTTCTCATGGCATAAACAAATTTTCTGTTGATGTCAAAAGAATGTTGTACCTTCTTTGAAGTATAAGAGGTATAAACCCATCCACAATTTTTACACCGTACTCGAAGATCAGAAACACTGCCTTTTCGCTCATGTGGTTCATGAATTTCCACACTCTTTACAAACCGTCTGAGTAAAAAGTTCACCAAGCAATTCCATGTCAATGAAACGGTACCCGGTTACATTTGGCTTACTTGTGGATTTTGGGTGCCTATTTTTTCGAGCAGAAGCAGAAACGGTATGATCTGCTACGGTCGATTACTCAGACAGCTCCGTGGTATCGTACCATCATTGTTTACACTCTGAATCACTCTCGACTACACGAAGTTTTTTAGCAGAATGTAAGAATAGATTGCCACGAAATTTCCGTTTTCTTGGTCTTGAACCTTGTCTTAACATTGTAAATATACAATTTAATAAGAATCGAAAAACAGCTATACCCAAATCCAAAAATATCCAAAAGCAAACAACACAAAATTCACTTGAAAGTTTGATCACCAAAATGAGCTTCAAAACGAAGCCCACAAATTCCAACACAAATTTTCAGTAGCTTTTTCAAATAGGAAACATACCCTACTCCATGTAAATTGTGTAATATATGCAAAATAGTTACAAAATGGCATCTGATGGGATTTTATACGGTTTTTACGAACAAAACAGCCATTGCTAAGGGCGTTGTTAGGGCAAAAATATGTCAAAGCCTTAGGAATTTTCTCATTTTCTTGGATTTCAAGCTTTTCCTACGGAATAAAAACCCACACATATGATTAACAACAGTTTATAATATATAAATATGTGTATTTTAAAAATTCACACCTAAATTTCAAAATAAAAGTCAAATTTCCTTAAGCACGGTATATCAGATAAAGATGTTTTAACTAGTACTTGTATGTAGTTAGTTGTAGTATATTATTGTATATAGTAGGTGAAATACTGTCATTAAATTGAATCGTTATTATTATATTATTAGGTCATCGTCTCAAGAAATGTGTTACGTATGAAACTCAAGTTAGCAATTTATTACAATGTTCTCAAATGTGTTTGAACAACGGCCGAAATGTCGATCCATTAATTTTGAGAAAAAGAATACTCTATCTAGATGCCAAATGAATAACCAAACAAGAGCAACCAAGGCTGACGAATTGGTGCTAGACGCAGTTTTCAACTACTATGAACCAATTCCAGTAAGATATTATTGATAGATTTGTTACATTG